GGTAAAATAATCCACGTGACATCAGGGGTTCAACTGTAATTTTACAAAAACTACGAGAATACTTTTTGTACGCAAAGAAAACTAAAATAACGACATTATTCAACAATTCGTCTCCTCCGCGTCACCCTAGCGCCATTTTGGAGAATATCACATACGTAAACAACGTATGCTGTTCTGTGTCAGCTGCGCCACGCGGATACGATGCTTTCGTTCAAATCAAAGACGTAAACGACGTAAACAGCGCATCTGCCTGGCGCAGATCAGATCATTGCAACTCTTAATTAATAGTGAATACGTGTTCCCTATTCTAAAGTGTATATCATACAGTATATCAATCTCAACTGTCTGGCTACTTCCCATTTTTCCCTCATTTTTATCTGCACCCATTTAGCTTCTAATAATTTATTTGAGAAATTGACTCTTTCAGTTCATGAGTGTGAATTTTAACTGAATTCTACGGTGGCCGAGAAGTGCAAAACAAATCACAATTCTGAAAACAAAATAACAAATTACAAACGCAACTGCAAGTCTAAAAAACAAAATAACAATTCAGAAAGCATTATAACAAGTCAGAAAACACAATGACAAATCCGAAAACAAATTAACAAGTCAAAAAACACAACTACAAATCAGACAAACCGGAAGAGGTAGGTATAGTTTGAGTCAGCGCCATTGGTTTGGGATTACTCACCGCTGACTGGACGAGACATCTGTCAATCAACGTATACAGGGAAGAACCAGCCGAAGAACAGCAGAGTCGTGGTAGAAAGTTCGGAGATGGTATTAAAGTAGCTCAGTTTAAATGTATTGTATGAATTGCCCTTACTATGGAATAAAAAATATGGGGTGTCTATTTACATTTAGTTAAAAGTTGTTACAAATCATCAGCTCCAGTGGTGCAGATGGATAAGCGCTTGTCATTAATTTTGTTTTCAGAATTGTGATTTGCTTTGCACTTCTCGGCCACCGAGAAGTACCACCATACCGTAGAATTGGCCATAACACATAGGAAGTTGAATTTGAATGACAGAATCTGAACTAAAATTCTAAAAAAAATTCAGCTCGAGTAACGTGTTCTGGGAAATGACATGCTCTTCCACCCTGGTGATCTCTCTGTATGTCTGTCTATTTCAGTCCTAAAAACTTCCATCAAAACTTTCAAATTCAGGATTTAAAAGGCACCCCTATTCTAAATGTTGCACAACCCTGGTAGAGATTTACTTCAACACATGTTGCTGGTACGTTTTAAGCTATTGCACATAAAATATGTTTGCCTTTGTCATCTAAATCCACTTCTGAAATGGATTTCCTTTTTGGCTGATGTCATGAATTCCTCTTACTTTTTCAACCCCTCTCCTCCAACCTCCTGTCATATAGAGACACGTTTAACTTTCCAATCAATTACTAATGGATAAAATTGTAATTTTTGTCACTGAATATCCTGTTTCGCTCTGAAATGCATCCGATTTACATCACACATCATGTCTGATTTAGCTCTTGTCAATCAGCAGAGGAGTAATTCCAGTCATTACAAACCACACTTCATTTATAATTCAGATTCATCATATTAACATAAAACTATTTGTCAGAGGCACATTTAATCCAGGCCGTTTCTCAAAATAGTAACCAAATTGAATGCAAGAACTGTGTGCTTTATTTTTATGACCGTTCCCATTATCTCTGTAAAAATTTTAAAACCTCTATAAATTAATCACAACTTTGATTTAATAGACTGTAATAGCCAACACTTCTTTCCACTGTAATATTGCGTGCATGAATGCCAAATTTGTCAGCATTTAGCAATAAATTTTAACTTTTCATACTTCAGTAACTTCAACAGCAAAACAGATGATGGACTCTTGAGTAGCCAAATACAGCAAATAAATGGCATTTAACTTCGCCTGATCCATAATTGTTGCCTTATGTTCAGACCATTGTGTTTGTTACGGTATATTTTCTAGTAAATCTTCTATAATGAATTAATTGTAATGCATTATGTATTTTACAGTGTTGGCTTTGGCAAGATGCTAATACACTACAATTTCCCATATGGGAACAATAAAATAATTACCCGTCTATGACTTGATGGGGGAAACCACTGTCCTTTAAATCAGTGAGATAAAGGATTTTCAGCACATCACAAGGGTTAAACAGACACCTTCTAAGCCTGCATTTACAATACATTATAAGGGTATTCTTAAGGCATTATAATAAATGAATAATGCATTATTAAAAAAATTGTATGTTTTATCTCATAAATAATCATAAGGATACTTATTTGTGGTTATAGCTTTTAAGAGTATGATGGTTTATAACACACAATGAACACTTAAGTTACAATGGATTATATTTACCATAGTTATAATCTAAGTCTCATATCTTGCCATTGTTTAAGATCTGCACAATAATGTAGCACATGCTATTAGTGTTTTTACTGTAAAATGACAAATACAAAGTCTTCATGAAAACATCGAAAAGGCTTTATAATGTGGTCTTATTATTTATGTGGTATTTTAATTATCTTTTGATATATTGTGTTTAGAGTCTTCAATTAAATTAGATGAATAATGTATTTCTTTAGCATTTCTTTGGTGTCCTGTACTGCATGATTTTCAGTTAACCTAAAAAAATAAAACTGCCGTCATTTACTCAGTATGGTTGCCAGGTCTGCGTTCAAAACCAGCCCAATTGCTATTCAAACTAGCCCAAAACTAGCCCAATCACGTTTTTTTCCCCACGGTTTTCCCCTCCGTCGGGGGTCTGCTTGGCAACCCTGCTCGGAACATTAATCAATTTATTGGCTATTTATTAATCAATTGTATTTATTTGATAAGCAGCCGTGTAAAAAGCAAGATCACATAAAGTGCTTTTTGTTAACTGTGTCTGCCAATGTCTTGATTGTGATTTTGTATTGCATGTGGATCTTAATTACATCTGTCAGTCTGGGAAAGCCATCGCTGACAGGTTCACCCAAGCATGTGTCAGTCATCTATGTATTTGACGTTTTGCACATTCCTCCGTGAAGGAAGAACGCCTCACGTGAAACTCAGAGGGGAGTGTAGATCTGATCTCAGCCGAGCGTCTGTGTGAAGATCACTGGGGCCGGATTGCATATGCTTAAGTGAGTAATGACAGTGTGTGAGTGCGCCGGACGCTAGAATACACTCAACCTGAGGTCATCCGAGCGCCGCGCCCAGCACCGAGCCGCCAAAATGAAAGACGCCGATTTATCTTTCTGTCCACGGTTTGTGGTTCAAATCTTGCTCTGCATCCGTCTCTGCTGACGACAACACACTGTGAAGCTGCAGCTAGGTTTTAGAAGAGAGATTTATTCGATTAAACCAAAGATGGTACATTCAGCAACTCACCAATAAAACAGTAACACACAAGATCCGGCCTCAATTAAGTTTAATAAGAAAAAACTAAACGGAAGATGGTGACATCCAGGTAACAGCGAGAGCACAGCAGCCGTGTGAAGTCCACATGTTAGTGTTCAGAAACCACGTTTATCCTCTAGACACATGGTAACATGGTCCCATCTACAGGTAGGAACCTAGTTAGCTGTGATGGTGGTGTTATTGACAGGTTTGTTCGGTGATGTAGAGGAGGACGAGTTCTCGATCTGTGTCGCCTGTGAACGAGAAAAGCGGCAATGCTGGTTCAAATGTTTACAGTAGCGGTTGAGTTCTGGGTCTGTGTGCAGTAGCTGTGGATCACACGACTTCAGTTTTGCTTGTTCTATACTGCAACAGCATCTACAGACTGCGTCCAAACTGTGTAATAACCTGTAACAGCCGAATATATTTGGAATTACACTAAAGTGAAAATAAACCGAACCTGGAGCCTGAACACAAGCAGCATGAATCTGTCAACACAGCCCTGGTCTTACCAGAAACGGTAAAGAGCGCTGATACTGCACACTGTTTCTGAACACATCTGAGGTATAAGAGAATGTGTCAATCTGTACTTGATATTGATTCAGTTTAACACTAGAAACCCAACTTTCTAATCCCTTTAAATGATCAGCATGATCAAAACCTGTCACACACAATCTACTCCATGCTTCATGTGTCTTTTGCTTTGTTTTATTGAATAATCGTAAGAATAGCTGTGATATTATTAGTAATATTTCCAGATGAACACTCGCTGGACTGAAACAGCTTGGCTTTACTTGATTATCCAGACATCATTTATTTAAGAAAAATCAGCGAGTCTCAAATCTGATCATCAGGGTTTTGAGGAACGTTTATTTGTTCATCCTCATATTGGGAGATAAATCAGCATCTGCACCAAAATGCATATTTTTGCTCATTCCTCTGAATGAATTGAGTTCGATTCGACAATTGCGATTTTTATTATTTTTAAAGATCCAGTTTAACTCCTTCCCTGCCAATGACGGAATTTTCCAGCTTTCTGTGTTTTCACTGTTATACGGTAGGGGGCGCTATTATGCATCTTCTGAAAGAGTACTGAACGCCTGGATCAGAACTCGGGCGAAGAGGCATAAACAAGCCATTGCATGCGTAGCAAGATGCATATATAAAATACCATGATCGTCAAACAACTGCCTAACTTTACGGCATGAAATGACGATCCAGAAAGTGGTATAGGAACGAGAAGTTTTGGATGTGTTGATGGAAACGATTGACTCCATCGATGTTTTGATCATCATTCTGAATCTGATCCGGATGTAGTCTTTTACAGAAACACCATTTTCTCAGCTTTTTGTTCAAAATGTTGCTTTTTTCATTACACTTACCCACATTCAAGTGTTGATAAAAAAAATGCATGACGGCTCTGTTCATTGTTTTGGCATATTGAATGTTTAGATATTTATACAACGATATATTCTGAGTGCCATTAAACTTTTGTGAAAATGCTGGCAGTGGGGGAAAGAGTTAAAATGTTCCATTTAAAAAAAAAAAGTAGTATTTCATATGTCAGGCTTTACAGGGTTAAATAATAATGGTACATTTAAAAAAAACAAACAAACAAAAAAAAACCTACCTTTGCTTTAGTAGTTGATCATACGCTTGACCGCCTCGAAGCACTTCCACTTGTCAGGGATGTAGAAGGGCTCAAAGATGTGAGGGAAGGGCGTATCATACCCACAAACCCTGCTGATGGGAGCCTCCAAGTTGAGGAAACACTCCTCCTGCAGAAAACACAGTCAGCTCCATCAACACTGTACCATACAAAGAAATGTTCTTTTCAGAACCTATACAAAAGGGTGTCAAAGGGGGGTAAATACTTATGAAATCATTTATTTTCACATTGTAGAGATCTGATTTCACTTTGATGTCAAAGAAATCTAAATTCTATTCCACAAAAAACTCAGATGCTTCAAAAAGTTCATAAAGAGATCATGAAATTCAAACAATCACTCTGCTTTATATGTGACCCTGGACCACAAAACCAGTCATAAGGGTAAATATTTAAGGGTCCAAATGAAGTTCTTAGCAATGCATATTACTAATCAAAAATTAAGCTTTGATATATTTACGGTAGGAAATTTACAAAATATCTTCATGGAACATGATCTTTACTTAATATCCTAATGATTTTTGGCTTAAAAGAAAAATCGATAATTTAGACCCATGCAATGTATTGTTGGCTATTGCTATAAATATACCCCAGCGACTTAAGACTGCTTTTGTGCTCCAGGGTCTCATATGGTGAAGAGTTTTAATTTAGGCTTTTATTTACATATAAACCTTGACCGACGCATATACATATAGAGCTCATCAAATATGATAAACAGAAGCTCAAACATGCTTGTTTGATGTGAAAGAACCCAAATATTGATTAAACCACTTGATTCAATGTCTTTTTTTATCTCGAAGCTTAAAGTTCTGGTATACTAGATTTTTCAACGGAAGGTTTCAACAGAAGGTTTCATTAAAAATATCTGTATTTGTGTTTTCGTTTGTGTACTGAAATAATTGCGGGAAGCTTACTGGTGGTGATGTTGAGGTCATGTGACTTTAGCGTACTTTGTTCTGTAGTCTAGCTCAGCATTTCACTTCTGGTGATTTTATTTCGGCTTCAAAACCAACTTTGTGTTCATTTGTGAAGACTACCTTCTCAGACTTTTCTTGGTCACAGAGTTTATTTTCTGCAATAATCCAAAGCCAGTGGAAAAATCCTACTGGGTTTTGGTCGAGGGAAGATTTAACCAGACATCGTCTAAGCCAGGGGTAGGCAAGTTCGGTCCTAGAGAGCCGCAGTCCTGCAGAGTTCAGCTCCAACCCTGAAAAACAAAACTCACCTGCCTATAGCCTTAGTAATCCTGAAGACATTGATTAGCTTGTTCAGGTGTGTTTGATTAGGGTTGGAGCTGAACTCTGCAGGACTGCGGCTCTCTAGGACCGAACTTGCCTACCCCTGGTCTAAGCCAACGCTGGACCAAAGAACATGACCTGAATATGGAGGAACAAGAAATGAATTACAGCGTCCAAATCAAGAGCAACATGATCAACAGAAACGAATGGAAAAATCGGAGTTTTTGTCCTCAGTCGTGACCCCAACACGCAGTTGGTTTCTATTTAAGCTTCTAGTGCAGTTTTTGGAGGAATATAAAGAAGGTATCAAACCCCAAATGGAAGCTGAACAAACCTGATTGCCAAATGGCAGAAGACTAAAAACTTATTTGCACAGAACCATCAAAACTTGTGCGTCTAATGTTGCAGTGCAGAGTCTAATGTTTCCCCTCAAACAAAGCCAACACTGAAATCTACTGTCTATGAAGACACCTCCAACTCTTGAAGGACACTCACTGTCCAAATCCGAACACGGAAAACGCATGAGCTAAGCGTGAAACATGTCGCACTTTGGGCGAACTCCTTCGTCTGCTGGCGTTTTCTGAAGTGGCTACAAAAGAGCGTCAAGCTTCGTTAAAAGGGCTTTGTGCTTGCCTTACATGACGGCCTGTATAAACACAAAAATGTGTTTCGGATTTGCATCAGGAGGCCGTTCCAGCTCTGAGGAGAGATGTCAGGAAAGGCTGTGCAGGTCCTGGATGCTCGAGTCCGGTCCGGTCTCAACCAGCCTGGCATCCTGCTGCTCCGCTACATATAATCACCGCTTTGGGATTTGATGTGGCACGACGAACCTAGTGCTTCTGCTGCTCAGAAATAGTTTTATCTACATGGGATGAATCTGAATCTGAAGCGAGCGGTTTGTAATGACTGGAAATGGACTCCAGGAAAGGACACGTCGGCTGATAGCAGTTAAAATTAGATGCAAAAGGTCAGTTCACTCCACTCCAACACATTCGTGCAATGCAGGAAAACAATGTGCTCTCAAACTTTTGCTGTTTTTGGCATTTATGTTTGTTCATTCGTGTTTTCCATCCTCACTTCCACCATCACGGCTATAGGATAATAAAGCAGCATAAAACTAGTTTAGTAGTAGCCCACGGAGGTAAACATACAGCAAACCAATCTAAAACCAGCTAAAGCAAGGCATCACACTGTGTGTTATATTTTAGGGGTTAAAACACATTTGGCGGCCCGAATCACCACAATACATATTTAGTAAATTACCCTCAGTTTTATAGACATGGGGTAATTTGGGGTCATTCTTTTTTTTTTTTTGTCCCAAAGTGGAGGAGTACACCTGCCAACCTGGATCACGAGAAGAATAGAAACCTCCTCTTACTGGAAAATCAGGAGAACAGAGAAGTGCAGTCAAGCCAATGCTGTGGACTGCAAACACGACTGAATTACTTCAGCTTCACCAACATATGAGAAGAGCATCATTATATCATTAACTTGTCAGTGTAATGATAACTGGACAGTTCAAATTAAAAACAGGAGTCAAATGCTACTTGCTTTCTAAATTTGTTTTGGATGTGATTCATATTTGTACATGTGGCTTGTTAGAGCCACTGTACACATATGGATGTCATCAAAAATACTGTAAAAACAGTAATATTGTGAAATATTATTACAATTTAATATAACTGTTTTCTATTTGAAAACACATTAAAATGTAATTTATTTCTGTGAT